CTGAGTAAGTAGGATTACAGGTGTGAGTCATCAGTGCCCAGCAAAGGAAAAACATTTGCCAATACTGGGGATTGAACTCAGGACCCCTTAATCTTATTGGCTTTTTCCTCTCAAGCCTATTGTCTTGTAACTGGAGCCCCATATCCACTTCCTAAGTCTCCAACTCTTCTGCAAGACAGGATGTGCTAGTGGCAGACAGGCCACACAATAGAATGTCACTGTTTATGGGGAATCCTATGCCTATGCAAGGCCTTGCTTGCTTATTACAAACCTGTGAGGTGCAATGAGAATGGTTTGTAGAGGCTGTAATACACAGGAATATGCATATGCAGAAAACGGACTGCAGGCCCCCTCCTTTCCTTCCCTGTACACACACACAGAATCAATTACTCACTCAGTTCACTATAGGTCTCTCACAACCAGGTTCTGGGAACATAGTGGAATGTGAGCATTATCCTGCTCTCCTTCGTTAGGTTGGTCATCGTCACCCTGACCTATGACTCAGACTGGACTTAGTTTGGGTCTTCTCTGGTTGAAGCAGTGACTTCAAGAGTCTTTTGTGTTTTCCTCCAGAGACTTGGTTGTTTTCCTGACAATTGGTCACTTCCTGGAATGCAGTGAGCTGTGCCAGGAATGCAGCATGCATTTATATGATTGAGGCATAGATAAGCAATGACTTGGACCAAATTCTGACCTACTTTTATTTTTCTGGTCATTCTGGCTTGAACTCTGGGCCTGGGTGCTGTTCCTCAGCTCGTCAGCAGAAGGCTAGTGCTCTACCACTTGAGCCACAGCACCACTTGTTTTCTGGTGGTTAACTGGAGGTAAGTCTCACACTTTCCTGCCAGGGTTGGCAGATCCCAGCCTCCTAGTAGCTAGGTTTACAGGCACTAGCTCGTGCTCGACTTTGTTGGGCTTTTTTGCTAAAGACTGGAACTACCATGTGAGTCACAGCTCCACTTTGGGCTTTTTTTTTTTTTTGGGTCCGGTCGTGGGGCCTGAACTCTGTCCCTCAGCTCTTCAGCTCAAGGTTAGCGCTCTACCACTTGAGCCACGGCTCCACTTCTGGCTTTTTTCTTTTTGCTTATGTGGTGCTGAGGAATTGAACCCAGGGCCTCAGGCATGCAAGGCAAGCGCTCTACCACTGAGCCAACTTCCCAGCCCTGGGCTTTTTGTTAATTGGAGATTCAAATCTTTCTTACCCAAATTGGCTTGAACTACAACACTCAGGCCTCAGCCTCCTGAGCAGTTAGGATTACAGCCACAAACCTCTAGAAGGAATCAACTCTGTTGATACCTTGATTTCAGATTTCTGGCCTATAACTGGGAAAATAAATTTGCTTAGTTTTGGCGGTGCTGGGGCTTTGAGCATGCTAGCCAAGTGCTCTACCAATGTATTCTTAGCCCCAAGTGTTTATTGTTTAAAGCCACCAAATTTGTCTCTCAAGAAGTAAGTGCAAAGTCAAGCCTCTGGTACCTATGAACTTGACTTTTACTTGGGAAAAGCACTTTTATAGGCATAATTAGGGTAAGGATCTTGAGATGACATCAACTTTTTTGGGGGGTAGGAGAGGCCTGAACTCAGGACCTGGGAACTGTCCCTGAGCTTTTTTTCAAGGGTAGTACTCTACCACTTGAGCCACAGCACCACTTCTGGCTTTTTCTGTTTATGTGGTATTGAGGAATAGAATCTGGGGCTTCATGCATGCTAGGCAAACCACCACTAAGCCACATTCCCAGCCTTGCTTTTTTGTTCAAGGCTGGCAGAAATTCTTAACACTTCAACCATACCCCCATTTTAGGCTTGTTGCTGATTGTAGTCTCGTGGACTTTTCTGCCTAGGCTGTCTTCAAGTGTGATCCTTGTATCAGCCTCCTGATAGGATTACAGGAGTGAACTGGGCTGATGACATCATTCTTGAGTAGAGTTGATTCTAAATTCAAGGTTCTGAAGGACTCCATGCCCCAATGTCCTTGTGAGAGACAGGAAACTATATGCAGTGGCATGTGGGAGGCGGCCATAGAAGAGGCAAGGATTGGACTTGCTGCTTAGAAGCCCAAGTACAGCTTGGTTGGTAGCTAGCAGAGAGAAGCATGGAATGGATCCTCCAAGAAGGAATCTACTCTGCAGACCCCAGTTCACATTTATCACCGCAGAAACATGAGAACTGCTTCTTCAAGCAGCCACATTGTGATCACTGATTACAGCAGCTCTCAGAGCAAATAAGTAGATTGCATTCTCTTCTTTCTTCCAAGAAGTACAACCATGCATAACTGGACATGACAATTTGCCATCATTCCACTCTCCTGGGCCTTACTAGAGACAACCTTAAGGTCTGGCCAGAACTCTGACAACTTGGCCTGTGAATTGTATGCCATTGTCAGATATTAACACACGGGGTGTACTAAGTATTGTAAAAATATCCAAGACACTGACCCATCACCACCAAGATGGGTCAAGAGCTCCCCAAGGCCAGCCTGCACAGAATATTTAGGGAGATCCTATCCATAAACCAAGCTGGAAGCTGGGCACCAGTGGCTCATAGCTTGTAATCCTAGCTACTGAGGAAACTGAGATCTGAGGATTATGGCTCAAAGCCAGCCAATTTTAAACAAAACCTGAGACTCTTACCTTCAATTAACCAGCAGAAAACTGGTAGTAACCACCAGAAAACTGGCTCAAAGTGGTAGTGCGTTAGCCCTGAGAAAAAGCTCAGGGACAACACCCAGATCCCGAGTTCAAGTGCCAAGATTGCAAAAAAAAAAAAATCCCAATAACACACAGACACATACAAACTCCACAAAAAAAGAAACAAAACAATAATAAAAATGCTTGGTATGACAGTTCATACCTGTACTCTCAAAGGTAGAATGGGAAACAGGTGAGAAAACTCATGTCCAAGGCTGGCCCTAGGCAAAAATGTTTGAGACCCTATCTGAAAGTATAAATCTGAAATCCTATAATTCAAGTAGCTGGGCGCCAGTGGCTCAAGCCTGTAATCCTAGCTACTCAGGAGGCTGAGATCTGAGGATCACGGTTCAAAGCCAGCCCGGGCAGGAAAGTCTGTGACTCCTATCTCCGATAAACCACTAGAAAACCAGAAGTGTCGCTGTGTCTCAAGCAGTAGAGCACTCACTTTGAGCTGAGGGACAGCCCCCAAGCCGAGTTCAAGCCCCACGACCGACAAAAAAAAAAGAAGTAAAAAGTATTGGGGGCATGGCGTAAGTAGTAGAGCATCTGCAGAGTTCAAATTCCAATAACACCAAAAAGAGAATGAAGGCAAAAAATGTTATCTTTTATACAGAACAAGATGAGTATGTAAGCAGGACTAGTGGCTCACACCTGTAATCCTAGTTTACTCAGGAAGCTGAGATCCTAGAATTGGGAGTTCAAGGCCAGGCTGGGTAAACTAATCAGACCTATTTCCAGTTAGCCAGTGAATAGCTAGAACTGGAGCTATGGATCACGTGCTACAGTGTCAGTTGTGAATGGGGAAAGCAGATGGAGACTGCTAAGATCCTGACTTCAAGCCCTAGTACTGACACAAGAAAAAGGGTATGGAAACGGCATTGCTTTCTATGGCATGATACCCTATAATAAATCTTCCTTGCCATATGCCTCCCCTAATACTATTGTTTAACTTCTTGCAAGGATGGAAGCAGATGCCTTAGCTTTCTGGTTAACAGCTTATAGCTATTGGCCCTTCAATCTCATCTATGAAATGAGGGAATATCAGCATGTACACCAGTTCAGCTATAAAGACCTAGTGATAATGCTGTGTCCACACATTCCCACACAATTGGACCAGGTTGCTCACTACCATGAAGGTTATCTAGCCTGGCTCTTGACACAGAACCCTCTGCCTCCACCTGCCTTTTTCCAACTAGTAATCATCTGCTGGCCAAGGGCAGCTGAAGGAATGAGCCTATCTGGACTGCAGCAAAGGGACATGAGATCGCAGAATTGTTTTCTGTGGGTGGTCAGGAATTCACTATAGCTCCAGGACACACCCATTCCCCTCCTAGAAGCCTTTCTGCTCTCCAGACACAGACTTACTTTTTGTCTCCAGCTCGGATAGCTCTGCAATTAGTGGTATCACAACGGTCTCACCCAGCATCAGTAGAGGCAAATAAGATTGTAAAAGGAGCTCACAGGTAGCTCTGATTTACTGTAAAGAGCTTGAAGTCGGTCAATGCTACAGGGAAATTAAAGCTGCTTCTCTTGTTTACTCTAAGACTTTCTGACAATATAGTCTTACTACACAATGACTTTTTCAAATATGCCATACATTCACACATTAGTTTATTCTGAAGGCAGTATTCTTACTACACTGCTGGTAGCAATTTCAATTAGTGCAGCTATTATGGAATCAGTGTGGTTCCTCAAAAAAAAAAAAAAAAAAAAAAAACTAGAATTAAAGCTGGGTATACTTTCTAGCTACTCAGACTTGAGATGAGGATCAGTTTGAAGCCAGCCTAGGTAGATAAATAAGTGGAGTTGTGGCTCAAGTGGTAGAGAACAGCCTTGAACAAAAAAACTAATAGGCAACACCTAGACACTGAGTTCAAGCCCAGTATCCACACAAAACAAAAATAAAACCCTACAATTACCACTAGATTCTACTATACTACTCTTGAGCAGACTTGAAGGAATGCCAAGTCAGCACTCAACCAAGAATTCCACACTTTTGTGAATTGTTCATATTGAAACCTATTTAAGTAAATGTACAAGACTAAGGAAAAAGGAGAGTGGAGTGATGGGGAGTAAAAGGTAATAGAGGAGGCAACATGACCAAAGTATATGCCATGTAAACTGATGGTCAAATGTAGATGACCATTTATTTGACTTTCAACAGTTTCAGTTTCTAGAATCAAGGTACTGGAGGGCACTAAAGGGCAGCCTGCCTCAAAATATATGCCAACTTCCTTTTCCAGATCCAATGACAGTTAAGCAACTGAAAAGCACCAACATCCCAAAACACATGTATACAACAAACGATATTCATTTAAGAAGTTTTTTTTTTAGATCAAAAGTTGTATATAAGATTATTTTACTCCTGCATCTTCTCAATCGTTTCTTCCTTGTATTTGCCCTTTTCCTTTCCTACTTGGCGGGATTTGGCTTTCCGTTCCAGGATCTTTTTGCGGTCTTTGTCCAGTTTCAGCCTGGTGATTACCACCTGCAGAAAAAAAACACCCCAACTGTAAGCAATAATGAACAAAGGCACAGCACCCAATCTTACCTTCCAAATCCAAGATAGATGCCTAAATATGAACTGACCTAACTTTTACAGGTTCTACCAATGACCTTTTAAGCCCCCAAACCATCTCAATTAAATATTTAACAATTTTCTACCAACAAGGTAGAGGAGGCAAAATATTTGTAGCAGTGATTCAGTTAACCTATTCTGTGCTTCATTATGTTTTCCTGCCACCCATCTATCCCACTTTTCTCATTCTCAATAACACAAACGTGTGATATACAAACATCGGTTTCTAAAGTAACCTTAGAATTATATAGCTGAGCCAAGGTATCTGTAATCCTAGTTACTCAGGAGGCTGAGAGCTGAGGATTGAGGTTCAAAGTCAGCGGGAAGAGGGTCTGTGACTCTTATTTCCAATTTTTTTTTTCTAGTGGTTTATTGGACTATTCTAGTGGTTTATATGGACTTTCCTGCCTGGGCTGGCTTTGAACCTTGATCCTCAGATCTCAGCCTCCTGAATAGCCAGGATTACAGGCGTGAGCCACTGGCGCCTGGCTTCACTTTACTTTTTGATCTATCAACTTTTGAAAATATCTATTAAGTGCAGTGTTGAAAGGCAGTCTGATTCAGAAACACTTTACATGTCAGAATATTCAATACAAAAAGTATATTTAGCAAAGACAAGGATGTCAATACATGGAAACTCAGGGACCATTTCTAGGGATGCTCTGAACAATCCCATCTGCCCAAAATTTCCCTCAGGTATTCTAACACACACACCTTGCTGGGGTGAATGCCCACATGGACAGTGGTGCCATTGGCCTTTTCCCGCTGTACCCGTTCAATGTAGATGACATACTTCTTTCTGTAAACCTGGACCACTTTGCCAATCTGCTGGCCTTTATAGTGTCCTCGTACAACCTAAATGCAAATGGAAAAACATGTGATTCAAAGGAATGTGATTAGCCAGGAATACAATCAGTTATACACAACACAATCACCAGACAAAGAAGACTTCACAATTTTTTTGGGGGGTGCCTGGGCTCAAGTCTAGCCTTAGATACCCTAGGATTTTTAATTTTTTTTTGGGGGGGGGGGGTCCAGTCGTGGGGCCTGAACTCTGGGCCTCAGCTCTAGGCTTGCGCTCTACCACTTGAGCCAAGTGCCACTTCCGGCTTTTTTCTTTTTGCGTATGTGGTGCTGAGGAATTGAACTCAGGGCCTCATGCATGCAAGGCAAGCACTTTACCACTGAGCCACCTTCCCAGCCCAGATTTTAAGTTTTTAAAGACGCTTATGCTAGGTGCGGCTCACAGGTCATACTAACTACTATGAGGATCATAGTTTAAAGCCAAACCCAGCAGGAAAAGTCTTTGAGAATCTTTTCTCTAATAAACTACCCAGAAAATGCCAGAAGTGGAGTTGTGGCTCAACTGATAGTGCACTAGCCTTGAGCAAAAGAAGCCCAGGCACAATTAAAAAAAAAAAAAAAAAAAAGATTCAATTAAAAGAAAAATACGCCAATAATCTTATTCCTGGATTTAGTGGAGAACGATGTAACCTAAAAGAACCTAGTCTAGTTTTCTGAAATTTCAAGGAATGTGTTACTCTACTGCAACACCAGCACTGCTTCCCAAGTATTGTTTACAGACATAACGAATAACCCAGTACCAGATAAATGGCAGGCACTTAATATTTTAAGTGCTTCTAAATAGCAGGTCACAGGTCTTTGCATTCAACCAGTTTACAAAAAAGATTGTTCCCAAGGTCTACTGCCATTTTAGATAGCATGGACTATTGGCTGTCCTCAATCCATACTGCTCTGTTGGGAACTGATTTCATTTTAATTGCCATTAACCTCACAATACAATACGGATTGCATGTAAATTCTTTTACAAACTTCCTGAATTCTGCAGCCATTAGCTCTAAATTACACCTAAGAAATACTCATGGAAAACTTCACCAACATTGATCTGGCCAATCAATTATTTACCAGTAAGCTCAAACCATCTGAACAATGTCCTTCTCTAGACTTTAAATGCCTCAATATACTGACAGAAGAATCCTGAAATAATGTTTACTGCCTGTCATGTCTTTTTCAAACTATTCTGGTTCCACCTGATGCTTCAGAAATTGCTTTAGAATGTCAGCTGGATGCAGGTGGCATCCAAGAAGCTGCAATCTTGTGATTTAAAGACAGCTCAGGCAGCAAAGTTCATGGAACTTCGGTCTCCAATTAACAAGCAAAAAGCTGGAAGTGGAGCTGTAGTTTAAGTGAGAATGCTAGACTGAAGAAAAAGCTAAGGAACAGGGAGCATCTAAGCTTAAATTTACTGCCCAGCAAAAAGACAAAAACAAACCAAGCCCCCCCCCCTTCCCAACCTTCTTTGTACCATAGAATGAGAATTCAGGTAACCCAACTTTCCTGTTATGCTGCCTCAATCTATCTCACAAAGTTTTCCTTTTCCTAAAGTGCACATGGTGGCCTCAAAGACGACTTGGCAAGCAGAAATACATACCTGCACCTCATCATCCTTCCGGATGGGCATAGACCGCACATTGTACTTTTGTCTCAGCTCTTTGGAAAGAGGGGAAGACATAATCTTCCTGCGAATGTGGGAAGGTGCATTGAAATGCCTTTTCCGGTTCTTGCTTCGGTCAGAAGTGACAAAGGGATTGAACTTCATTTTGGCTTAAAAAAAAAAAAGGACTTTTAAATAACCAACGTCTCATCAAGCTAAGGTGTCCTGTTCTAGAATTCCACCGGAAACCGCCAGAACTGAATGAGTGGCTTATCAAGAGATGCTTGAAATGAAAAAAACAAATCCTCCGTGCTTAGAGGGGATTTTGTTATTTGTTTACGGAATGGCGACGTTTCCTGTTAGTAACACATTTAACTTAAGTCAAGAAGTTTGCTTTGAGTCCTTAAGAACTGCATGAGGAAAACTAGCTTTAGAAATACCTCTGGATTAAAGCACGAAACGCAGCGCACGCGTTTGCTAGGTCTGGCCAGCCCTCGCCTCTCGCACTCTAGGGAGCGTGAACACATTCCATCCCTAAGTCGATCGATCAAGCCGGGGGGGCCCCCGCCCCATTCTGGAGCCCTCGACTTGGAATTCCCGAAGATCTCGGGTTCAAAACGCGGGTTAAAGCTAGCGAGTGGAGTCCGGTAAGTGCAGCCGTGCCGGGAGTATCCACAGCACAATGCTCAGACTGAGCCCCATCGACATCCACAGGCCCCCACATCGTCCGTCCCTCCTTCCCACTCCAGTCCGGCCCCTGGCCGAGGGAGCAAGATAGGACATCCAGGCCCCGTTCCCTGGCAGCCATAAAGCCAACAGGACAGTCTCAAGACCTCTGGGTGGACAGCCACCATGGCCCAGGGGCGGATGGCAGCGGATGGCCCGCGCCTTGCTGCTCGATGCTCACCCGCTGCTGCTTCAGCGATGGCCGAAAAGGGGGAAGAGAACTACAGGCCGCTTCCGGTTCTGTAAGTTTACGAGAGATCTCGCGAGATTACTGTCACGTAGAGCGCGAGAGGCAGGGAATTTAAGCCAGGAGGGAACTGGGAGAGGAACTCGTGTCTACTGCCACCTTGCGGCCTGGAGGGGAACTGCGGCCTGCGGGGTGGGTGGTGGTGGGGAAACCTGTAGCTCTCTAGCGTCGCCGTTTGGTGGGTCCCGGGGTTGTAGCTGACCGCCCTGTGCTCCCGGGCGTATAGGGGGGATTGTTTAGGGTCCGCCTACTTGGGTGATTGGCGGAGGAGCGGCTTCAGGGGATCCGATCCCAGATGCGGGGCGATTGGGAAAAAGCCACCAGAGGATGCCGAGTGACCTAGAACTCAGGACCCCAGGGCTATGCACCGCGCACCTGCGCGCCCTGGGACCGCCCCAAAGTTTTTGATCTAGAGGTGAGGGGCCTCCAGAAGACGAGGCTGCTGATCGCTCCCCACTCAACACAAGTAGATCTGACCCCTGATTTCCAGGGAAGCCTCCCGGGTGAGGTCCAGACCACACTTTGTAGGGGCGGGCCTGGGAAAGCTCTCAAGGCGGGGAAGCCTGCCTTGCCAAGTCACTTGCCCACCTGTATTCAGTTCAATTAGGGTCTGATGGAGGCAGGGGGAGGAGGTGCACGCCCCTGCAAATGGATTCTGAGGAGGCATCGGTTTCCATGAATACAGGTGTCATACTGACCGAACACACAGTTCGTAATTAATATACGTGACTGGGGGTCTTGCTGAGTACTTCTACCCCGCCTTATGTCTCCACGAGATTTCCTTTTCCGCACCTCTCTCTAATAAATGCTTAGGGAGCGTTTTTCACAGGCTAGCCTTGAACTAGACGCCAGAGGGACTCAATAAGTCCCAAGTGCATGCTTGCTTGCAGGAAGTCGTCCAAGGTAGACAAGAAAATCCACTGGACCACAGAAAAACTGGAAGTGGAGTTGAGGGTCAAGTGGTAAAATACTAGCCTTGGACGAACAAGCTCAGGGACAGCACCCCAAGTTCTGGGGCCCAACCAGGTTCAGTGAACGCTGAAAGCCATAGGGAAGCCTGGATGGCTCCTACTTTCCTACTTTGCCTTTTTGTCTGGTCCTCACTGTCTGACTGCCTTGCCTCAAGAACTCGATTTCATTTCCTTACCCCAGCCCCCAAATCCTTCTCAGGTCTCCCTCATCATCCCTCATCATCTTTCTCTCTTTCTCCAAAGGTCCACAGTGTTTGGGCCTTCTCACTTCCCTCCCCAGCCAAACACTGAGTCACCATATGAAAACTTTCAGCCCTCAGTTGGGGAAGCATGACCACTTAAACACTGGGAAGATTGTTAGGCTACAAATTGTACCCAGAGATGCAAATTACCAATGGCCTAGTTACAAAGACTGTTTATCTTAACCAGTGTCTCTTCCAACCTGTGTGATTCTCGGGCTACCTAGTTTCGCTGCCCCTTCTCTGTCTCTTCTCTACCTTCCCCTTCCTTGGTTTAGAAGATCTTTCAAGCCAGGTGCTGGTGGCTCATGCCTGTCATCCTAGCTACTCAGGAGGCTGAGAGGCGAGGAGTGCAGTTCAAAGCCAGTCCAGGCAGGAAAACTGATGAGACTCTATCTCCAATTAAGTGCGTGTGCATGCAGAAATACACACACACACACACACACACACACACACACACACACACAAAGCAGAAGTGGATGTGTGGCTCAAATAGCAGAGCACTATCTTTGAGCAAAATAAGCTCAGAGACAGTGCCCAGGCTCTGAGTTTGAGCCCTAGGACTGGTGTACACACACAGAAAAGGTTCTTGTAATAATGGGAGGTAAGGATAGTATTCTGTCTCTTGAGCTACAGCTCCACTTCTGGCTTTTTTTTTGGGGGGGGGAGGCTGATTAGAGTTAAGAATCTCATAGACTTTCCTGCCCCAATTGGCTTTGAACCGCAATGCTCAGTTCTCAGCTTTCCCATTAACTAGGATTACAGGTGTGAGCCAGGGATGCTGGCAAAGAGTAAATAGTATTTAAGAAAAAAAGCGGAAGGGCACATGCTAGTAGCTCATTCTTATAGTCCTAGCTACTCAGGAAGCTGATATCTGAAGATTGCAGTTGGAAATCCTGGCAGACAAATCTGTGAAACTCTTTATCTCCAATTAACCAGCAAGAAGGTGCAAGTGATGCAGGAAACTGGTGGCTCATGCCGATAGGACTAGCACAATCCCCAGCACTAGCACAAAAAAAAAATAAAAAGGTGAAGGTGGGGCTCAAGTGGTAGAGCACCAACTTCAAGTGGAAGAAGCCAAGCAAGAGTGAGAAGTCCTGAGTTCAAGCCCCAGTGCTGACCAAAAAAAAGGAGAAAAGAAAATCAAAGTAAACACATTAAGCCCAAAAGAAATCCACAGGGCCTTAGGAACACTGAGGTTACACTTCTTGTCTTACTTCTTACTCACTACTTATGCCTGTTATGCATGTCCTGTTTCTAACCCGACAAACCAGCTGCATAGCACTAGTACTTGATACCCTTGAGCTACTGGATCAGTGGTTTGACAGTTCTCAAATGTTCTTGGGTCAGGATCCTCACCAGGCAACAAGTGTGTATACTGAAGACACTGTAATATTTTTCAAGTAGATTCTTTTCTTTTTGGATGTTGGGGATTGAACCTGTGCTCTCTGACATACTAAGTACTTTCTCTACCACTGAGCTACTCCTCTGGCTTTCAGATTCACTTTTGAATAGATAATACATTTACTTGGCTTAAAAATAAAAAAGGGGGAGGGGCTGGGAAGGTGGCTCAGTGGTAGAGTGCTTGCCTTGCATGCATGAGGCCCTGGGTTCGATTCCTCAGCACCACATAAGCAGAAAAAGCCTGAAGTGGGACTGAGGCTCAAGTGGTAGAGCGCTAGCCTTGAGCTGAAGAGCTGAGGGACAGTGCCCAGGCCCAGAGTTCAGGCCCCACGAACAGAAAAAAAATAAAAAAGGGGATGGGCTGTGAAGATGGCTCAGTGGTAGAGCGCTTGCCTTGCATGCCTGAGGCCCTGGGTTCGATTCCTCAGCACCACATAAGCAGAAAAAAAAAGGCCGGAAGTGGAGCTGTGGCTCAAGTGGTAGAGCACTCACCTTGAGCTGAAGAGCTGAGGGACAGTGCCCAGACCCAGAGTTCAGGTCCCATGACCGGACCCCCCAAAAAAAATAATAAAAAAGGGGCAGCTGGGAAGGTGGCTCAATGGTGGAGGGCTTGCCTTGCATACATGAGACCCTGGGTTCTATTCCTCAGCACCACATAAGCAGAAAAAGCTGGAAGTGGCGCTGTGGCTCAAGTGGTAGAGCGCTAGCCTTGAGCTGAAGAGCTGAGGGACAGCGCCCAGGCCCAGAGTTCAGGCCCCAGACCAACACACAAAACAAACAAACAACAAACAAAACTGCCAGTGGCTCAAGCCTGTAATCCTAGCTACTCAGGAGGCTGAGATTGAGGTTGCAGTTCAAAGCAGACAGGGCAGAAACATCCCCGTGAGACTCTTATCTCCAGTTGACCTCTCAAAAATTGGAAGTGATGCTATGGCTTAAGTGGTGGAGAGTTAGCTTCGAGCACAAAGTGAATCAGGGACAGTGCCCAGAACCTGAGTTCAAGCCCCATAATGGACAACAAACAAACAAACAAACAACAGCAACAACAACATAAAAGACAAGGCAAAGTGAAACTTTCTCTCCTCCTTCCTTGGCTAATCATGGTTACAAGGTTTTTGTGCATCTTCTCAATTTCCTTATGCAGAAATAATGCAATGCAAATGTAAATTTGCATTGCTTTCTCTTTCTACATAAATTGTAGTAACCAATGTCTAGTGTTTCACACCTGGTCTGTTCCCATTAGCCATTGTATCTTGGAAATGGTCCATGTCATTCATGTCTGTTCTTTTTTTTTTTTTTTTGTCATGGGTCCTGAACTCTGTGCCTGGGCACTGTCTCTGAACTATTTAGCTCAAGACTAGTGCTCTACTACTTGAACTATAGCGCCACTTCCTTATTTTTCTGCTTATGTGGTACTAAGGAATCGAACCCAGGGCCTTAGACATGCTAGGCAAGCACACTACCACTGAGTCACGTTCCCAGCCCTCATGTCTGTTTTTGTTTTCTCTTTCTCATTTTTCTTTGGTGGGAATGGATACTGATATGTATAGGGTGGGATTTGAACTCAGGATCTGGAGCTTGCTCACTTTGTTTGCTTGGCTGGTGCTCTGCTACTTGATCCATTCCTCCTGGATTTTTTGGGTAATCCTGGGGCTTGAACTCAGGACCTGGCTGTCTCTGAACTTTTTGCTCCAGGCTAGTGCTCTACCACTTGAGCTATTGCTTCACTTCTGGCTTTTAGGTGGTAAATTGGAGTTAAGACTGTCAGGAGTTTTCATGCCCAGGCTGGCTTTCAACTGTGGTCCTCAGATCTCAGTCTCCTGAGTAGCTAGGGTTACAGACATGAGCCACCAGCGCTTCCCTTCTGCTCTGGTTTTTGTGTTTTTGTTTTTGTTTTTTACTGGTTATTGTGGACTCCACAAGACTTTCAGCCCAGGCTAAAATCTTGAATCATGATGCTCCAGATCTCAGCCTCCTGAGTAGCTAGGGATTACAGGCACGAGCCACTGGTGCCTGCTTTTTCTTACTTTCTTTATAGTTAAATAACCAGTTGATTAGCATTTAGGGTTTCCTTGATCATTTGTTATTACTACTTATATACTAGAGTACATGTTACTGCCCACATATACCAGTTTATCTAGAGGTTATATTTCTAGTATACAAATTGCTAGGTCAACATAGAAATTTTGATAGGTAATGTCAAATTTCCCTTGGTAAGAATTTTAACAATATCCATTTCTGCCAACAATTTAACTGCTATTCTGAGCCACAGCTGCACAGTAGGTTATAAAACTTTCAGAATTTGCTGGATACTAGTGGCTTATGCCAGTAATCCTAGCTACTCAGGGGGTTGAGATCTGAGGATTGTGGTTTGAAGCCAGCCTAGGCAAGAGAGCCTATGAGAGACTCTTCTCTC